CCCCAACTATTTTTGGATGATAAACATTTGTATCAGGTCAACTAAACATGGGCATAGTAACAATACATTTATACTACATTTATACATTTTACTAATCACACTCCTTTGTAACAACTAAGGCAAAAATGTAATTAATTCCGAAAATCTTTTCAGGACCCCACCTTGATGTTTCGGGACCCCTTGGGTCCCGACCCCAACTTTGGGAAACACTGGCCTAAAGGACAGAACCTTGAGGCACGCCAGTTGAGATGGAAAGACTTAAGTTACACGAACTGAGTATAATCAGAAAGATAAGATTTGAACCAGTCAAGTGAAGCACCACAAATGCTGATGGAAGCTATGCTGCATTCACACCGAACGCAGTTTTAGCGTTCGGAGCGTCAGGCTGAAAGTCGATGGTGGACGCAATCAAGCTGCGTTGGGAAGTGCTGCGGTGCGTCTATCACGTTTAGAGCAGCGCGATTTGAACGATTTACGCAATCGATGAGCATGACAAACACTTCACGCGTCACGCGCATCGAACGCTGGAGTTGGAAAATCTGAACTTTTGCAGCTTGACGTGGCGCGTCAACCAATCAGAGAGACTCCACTGTGTGACRTRGTRACACATTTTCYGACGAGACAATTTCCTRAATGATGTYCACTAACCTGAGACRGATRGWGAGGAGCTCATTAGCTGAAATCGAGTGCCTKYAGTSGGTGTCCTGGCAGGAGATGTGGSCACCGATGCAGRTCAGCGGCTCATCRAACTGGACTCGGAACAAAAATAGACCTCGTTGGGTCACAGCTCCCGGATGATGAAACTCACCRAACTCAACGTCTCTGAATTATCTAGTGAATWAATTATGAATTAATTATCTAATGAGTGCAACGTTCWCATGCTCTMGGTAARTAAAGCAAAGCCACTTCATTTATTTCATCCGACATTAAGCAGAGACCGACAAAGGAGGAAAGACCRGCAGAGGAGGGAGGGGGAAGGCTCTCGATGCACGACGCGATAGACGTGCATCCTGCGCTTCAAGAGCAATTTTGACTCACGTCTGACCWCAAAGTGCACAWGCATCCAACTTGAAGTGTYGGACACAATTTTGACACTGAAATGTACTTTAGTAGGTCATTAGTATTTTTTTATAAAAGCATTTTGGGTCCTACAGTGAAGGTAAAACCTGATTGAAACTGTTCATGTTATTTTTAGATTGATGAGAATAAAGTTGACTGGCAAGTGCTTTTTCAAAAACTTTGGAAATGAAGGGCGGATTAGAAATGGGACAAAGTATACTAAAGTTAGAAGGGTCAAGACTAGGGCTGCAACTAACGATTATTTTAATAATCGATTAATCTGTCGATTATTTTTTTCGATAAATCGATTAAACGCCAAATCATTAAAACACTTAAAACACATAAATGAGTAGATAAAAATGAATTTAATTCTTGTATGAATTAGGAATGCAAGTTATCGATTAATGAATTAATCTGAAGTTGATTTATCTTATAT